CTTATCGGGGGGTAAATTTTACTGTTTTGACACTGTTTCGACACTGTTTAGCACTGTTTCGACATTGTTTGACACTGTTTTGCACTGTTTGACCCTGTTTTGATGTAGAATAACTTTCCATTTAGGAAATGGGAACTTTCCAACGGGACATCCAAAAAAGGAAAGCGGGAACATTCCAACGGGACGGAGGGAGTATTTATTAATTTTATATTTTTTCATTTTTTTCAAAATTTTGACATTTTTTGGGATTGAAGAGGTAAATTGAACGATTTGATCGGGTTCAGGGGCTTACTTGACACTCTACCGGGTGATGAGGTGGTGACCAGATTGAAACCTACAAAAAGTGAAATTTGAATCTTTTTATAGAGTTTAGGATGTCAATTATAGCTTTTTTGAGTTTAGGGAGGAAATTGAGCAATTTGAAAGGGTAGAACGACCTATTTGACCTTTTAGCCAATAATATAACATATAATTATGCAAATAAAAATGCTAAAAATAATAGTAATATCGAAATATTCACGTTATGAAGATTGCCTCCTTTCAGTGAAGAACCAAACATGACTAGGGTAACTATAAAAAGAAATGGAATAGGGAATAGGGATGTGTAGGAGATCATGAATATTTTATACAAAAAATCTATTTGTACACACTTTTGTACACCCCCGTATTTTACCTGTGCACACAGGCAGTTCGTTAAGAAGAAGGCAACATTTGTCTCCCAATTATCTCTGTACACAGACAAATGTACAAAGTGTGTACAAAAGTGTGTACAACAAGAAGGGTTCTATTTTATATCCCGTTTGGTAAATTGAACTTGGGTGATAAGCTTGAAAATATGTAGGAGATCATCAAATGGTCGCCAAATGGGCTAGTTCTGAGCTGAATTATATTATCAATTTGATTTGTACTACCTCCGTCCGGAAATTAAGTTCTCATTCACTATTCATTGGTCAACTTAAATCACTCCTAAACTTTTACTTTATATCATGCTTGTCACGGCGTCGCCTAGGCATCGCCTAGTCGCCGACTAGGCGTCCAGACGCTGGGGACTGCTCGCCAGGTAAGCTCACCTCGCCGGAAGATGACCAGTCGCGTTTGGCATCGCCAAGGCGTCGTTTTGGCGTGAAGTTGGCGACTTGTCGCTGCCTATTTTAGCCCAGTCGAAAAGTCGTCCGCAGGCCCAGAGTAGATTACGGATTTATATCAAGGTTTAATTTTTTAGGAAACCCATTTAATTAAGGATTTAAGGCAGTGACCTTCTAATTAAATACAAAGCCCGAAAGAGAACAACTCACAGAGAAGCACAAACCAACTTCAAAGGCAGAAAAGAAGTCGCCGGTCACGCTAATAGCCACTCCCAGTCCGTTGTTGAAGCTTGAAGCATAGACGATAGCGTCCAGTTGAGTGCACCGATTTCTTATGTAGTCTTATTTTTCACGGAGTATTCTCTAGTGGTGTAGTGGACTTTTTTTTTTAATATTTTTATTAATTAAATGGTATATATATGTATGTATATCAATATATGCGTACAATATTAATTATATAGATACTATAAGTATAAAACAATTAATTTATTAAATACAGTGAACATGGTGACAATGATATAGACCTTAAACCATTAATTTATTCTACTGGTGAAATGGTGATATACTGAATACTGATATTTTCGTATATTAGTTTATAGAAATTGCTCTAAATAGGAGTAAAAACGTTTTGAAATTCCAAATAGAAATTACTTCAAATAGGACTAAAACTATGGCAAAAACTCAAAATAGGACTTCCTATGTTTTTCTTTTCAAAATAGAACCAAATTAGTCCTATTCGAAACATACCTATTTTTTCCTTCCATTCTTACCCTTCCTTTAAATATGAGTTAATTAAATGTTTAATTCATAATAAATTCAAAAAAATTCAAAAATTCGTAGAAAAATAATTAAAAATTTTATAAAATATTTATAAAATAAAAAATTTAAAAAAAAAATTAACTTTTTTTATTTTTTTAAAAAATTAATAAAAAATAGTAAAAATCCATAAAAAAATTAAAAAAAATATGGATGCCTTTCCCACCGCCTGTACTACCTCCCTGCACCACCATCTCTAGACGATGAAAAAAATGCAATTTTTTCTAAAAACTGCCATTTTTTCCTGAAAATGCCAAAACATGGCATATTTCTCTTTGAGAATGCCAACATTTTCATTATTTTCTGCCATAAATATGGCATTCGTAATGAACTTGGCATTTTTTCCCGGTGACTGGAGGTGGTGGTGCAGAGGCGGCAGAGGCGGCGGTGAATTTTATTTTATTTTTTTGGGTTTTTTTATATTTTTAATTTTTTTTTTATTTTTTAGTTTTTTGAAAAAAAATAAATTAATTAATTATTATTATCGAAATATTTTTATTAGTTTTTTAGTATTTTTTACGAATTTTTATTATTTTTTATTATTTTATTATGAATTAAAACATTTCAATAGCAAGAAGGGTATATTTGTCCAAGACACACATAATTAGTCCTATGAAAACATAGTTTAGTTTTTGGTCCTATTTATGCAAAGTGAGTGACTTTTAGTCATATTTTGATAATTAACCCAATTCCAAAATAGGAGTATCATATTTTTTATTCCTTTAATAGTAGTAATCTTCCAAGTTTGGAAAAAAATGTCATGTTTTAAAGCCTAGTAATGTCAAATTTGGCAGAGATTTACTCCTATTCAAGGAATAAAAAACATGATAGTCCTATTTTGGAATTTCAAAACTTTTTTACTCCTATTGGAAATTCTCTCATTAGTTTAATAAGAAACTCTTAAACCATTAATTTATCCTTTAAAAAAATCATTAATTTATTATATATTTAACTTTTTGGAGTATTAAGTATACCAGTATATCAAGTGCGTACTGTACATACCAATATTTTCTTATTTGAGATATACATTTTTAATCTTAATTTCCATTAAAAAACCTTGTTTTTAATTATTAATTGTGGATTTCAATTCTAAGTTAAATACATTTTAGTTAGTAATATTTTTTTTTATCCCGGAAGGCAAACCACCAAAATCAGTGGAGTAAATGCCGGGAGTCAGATACCAGAATTTAATTAAAAGAGAGATAGATACAAAAATGAGGGGGACTAGGCCAAGACCTCATCAAAAGGAATAAACAACTATAAATAAATGAAACAGTCTAATTAAAACGAAAAGAGGCTAATCCAAAAAGATCCATATAGTAAGCCCGTTTAACCATCTGGGGCAGATCACTCATATTCGAAAATTCCTGCATTGGGCCCGAATGGAGATGGGCCAGAAGATGGGCTACCCCGTTAACCTCCCTAAAAGCGTGGTGCAATGTAATCCCTTTCCTGATCAGCGTCTGTAGAGTTGCCTGAATAATATCCTTCCACCTTCTCGCATCAGGATCCAGGAGAAAGCTAATCGCCATCACTGAGTCTGATTCCACTTCAAAATCGCTATATCCAGCTCCGGTCGCCCAACTTATAGCTCGGCAGATGGTTTTTAACTCCGCTTCAAGTGCTGAGGAAGCCTCCACGTTAAAGCTAACTGCACGAAGAAGATGACTCGTTCGATTTCTCAAAATTGCTCCCCCCGCCACTGAGCCAGATAAGTATCTAGCATTTGTGTTTAGCTTCAACAAACCTTTCGGTTTATTCCATTTTAGAATATGTAGATTATAGTATTTGCAGTTGAAATCCTTTCGAATTAGATGCTCTTCGTACAAAATTTTGTCAACTAAGTGAAATTTGATCCCCTTCAGCGAATATGCCCAGTTCTGAGTGTATTGTTTAATAGCAAAGATGATATCTTCAGTAGTTGGATTGGCGTTCCCCTCACCCCATTGAAAATTCGAAAATACTTTCCAAATATGCCATGATATAATACCTGATATATTATGTTTGAAAAGGTCCGGCATATCTAAACAACCAGCATTGAGCCAAAAATCCCTGAAAATCTGACTCATAGATGAAAATGTCCTAGGTATAGGAATACCTAGTATATTCATGAAGTAATCCCAGATAGGTTTCACAGTTTTGCATTTATAGAACACATGGTCCAAAGATGCACTGTTCTTTCTGCATAGATGACAAATAGAAGGGTTTGCAGTGATATGAAATTGATTTAACTTTTCAGGGAAAGGCAGTATATCTTTGAGGATCTTCCATTGCAAAAGAATAATCTTGAGCTCCTGTCTTGGATTCCAGAGGTGTTTGAAAGAAAAAGTAGGTAATAAAGTATTTCTCACAGCATTATAAGCAGTTTTCAGAGAAAATTGACCATTTGTTTCCTCATTCCAGGTGATGGTGTCATTGGGGGAGATTGTGCACAAAGAGGAAGCATAGTCATGGATATGACAGATTCTTTTCCAAATAGAAGAATCAACAAGTTTAGGTACCATATCAGTTCTGTCATATCTGTTTTTCATAAACAATGTCCAAATGGAATTACCTGTTCTCCATTTCCACCAGAGCTTGAGAGAAAAAGCTTTTTCAACATCATTAAGTGCCCTGGTTCCTAATCCTCCCTCCTCAGAAGGGTAGCATATTTTCTTCCAATTGATCCAATGAAATTTTTTCTTCTCACTAGAGGATCCCCAAAAGAAAGAAGCCATCTTGCTATTAAGTATTTTTACAACTTTTTTGGGTATAGTTAGTTATATATTATACATAATATATAATTATATATGTAAATATATAATTATATATATAATATATAATATAATATACACATATAGACGACTAGTCGCCTAATTGTCGCCTAGGCGGGCGCCTTGTTGCCTAGGCGATATGGCAGTCAACTGGCGCCGCGACTCGACTTACCGCCGTGACAAGTATGCTTTATATATCAAATTTAAATTTTCTTGATCAGACTTTGTAGATATTTTAATGTAATTTCTGAATATGTAAACTTTATTTACTAAAACTAATTCGAGTGTGAACAAGGATTGGGTTGCTTTATCGTCAGTCAAGTATCATAAATCGAACGGGAACTGCTTTACGAGACGGTGGGAGTATTATATTGGATAAATGACTTTTACACCCTTGTATTACTATTAACTTAACTCACTTTCTTATGCTCCCCTCTCAAATACGCCTCCATTTTTGTAAATACATAATCCAATAAGTCAATTCCACTCAAATATTACCGAATATGTTCATATATCAACCATAGTTGAAACTGGGCCCTTAATATATTATAATTACATAAGCATTGCCTGGACTAGTGCATTTATTCCACTGTAACTTTATTCTCAAAAGGAATCAAAACTGAGTCATATGCTCACAATTAATTCATTGCCTGTCCATGGCGTGTTATCTGATTATGCAGATTTCCATGTCGACAAAGGTGGAGTATCAGAATCTTTCCATGTTAAAACACTAGGGGGCTGCCTCTCACCTTTCACTGCAGAAGCAATTGATTCAAGCTTGAACATGTCTTCTTCAGTGAGAGTCACAGACAAGGCTCCAATGTTTTGGTTGAAATTTTCAATCTTAGTGGTACCAGGGATGGGACAGACATCGTCTCCCTGGTGATGCAGCCAGGCTAAAGCTAGTTGCGACGGGGTGCATTCTTTTTGCGCTGCTATTTCGTTTATCCTCTCGTACAAGTTGTAATTGTGCTCAGCATTCTCTGCTTGGAACCTTGGGTTACCCTTTCGTCGATCAACTTCAGTTAAATTCTCGACTAGATTTCGACCTAAGGACAAAAATCCTCGCCCCAGGGGACTATATGCTACAATTCCAATTCCAAGCTCCCTGCATGCATGGAGGATAAGGTTAGGATAAGGATTCCATTGGCAGTTATTTTGGAGACTAACATGAAACTAGAGAGAAAGTATAGAGGGTACAGTGCACCACCTGCAAGTAGGGATAATTTCTTCCTCTGAGTCCCTTGTCCACAGAGACCACTCTAACTGGACAGCTGTTACTGGATGAACAGCATGAGCTCTTCGGATTGTCGAAGCGGAAGCTTCTGAGAGACCAACATATTTTATTTTACCTTCTTCAACGAGCTTTTTGAGTTCTCCCATCTTTGGAATAACTCAAGTTCAAACAAATACAGAAGTTAGCATAAATAAGCACCACGTTCTACGATGCAACCAGTACACTAGATTTTTAATTCACAGGATACAAAATTACAAATTGCAGTAACTCTTAAGTTTACTCTTTAATAAATTTGATAAACCCAGGAAACTGTCCACTAAGGAGCAATATAATTCTAGAGGAAGAAGAGGATTTGGCAGACGAAGATGATATTCTCCCCCCCCCCCCCCCCCCCTTCTTTTTATGAGTGCAGCACCCTTTATACACCAAAAATACATTCAGAAAAACAAAAGAAACGTACTGCTACGTGCTTAGTGGTCTCTACACCACAAGCCATACTAATTAAAAGTGTCTCCTACAAACAAGGAATGAACCAACTCAACCAAGTACTCCCTAGTCCCTACAAACAAGGAAATCTAAATAATTGGAAAAAAAGAATAAGTTAGTGCTGGTTCATTTTATCACAGGCCAATGAAACAGACAATTTGTTGTTAGATGTATGAGCATCAAAATAACATGGGTTGGCCATCTTATATGCCCAGTGGCTTTATCAATGCTGCTTGATTTAGCCATCAACTGCACACTATTACTAAATTAGGTCATCAGCTTTCTTTAGTACTCAATTTGGCCCCTGACTATGCGAATACGGACTCAATTGAGTTCTCATGTATATTTCGCCTTTATTAAGAAAGGAATTTTCATGTGTTCATGACTTAATTTGGTTCAACTACTAGTAGAGGACAATGATGATTCATTAATTATGTCTAAATTTAGCGAGACAAAATTGTTCTTATTTGAAGTCAAATATGTACAAGGAGTTAACGAGTGAATTTAGTCCATAAATAGTCAAATATCAAAGCCAAATATGTATTAGGACTGTAATTATCCAAAATTAATAGTAAAAGATCAAAACAGAGTTCAGATTTGCAAAAATATGTGTTATGGCCTTGAACAATATGTGTAACAACGGCAATCTCATCTCGGCGAAGGTTTATGATTTATTGCGCACTAAAGGCACGGCCAGACCTTGGATGCCGTTTATTTGGAAGGGGTACATTCCCCCTAAATTTTCTTTTACCGTCTGGCTTGCTTTCCGGAACCGGTTACCCACACAAGATAATCTTTCCTATCTTAATATGGTTAACCGGTGTGACCTTTGTAAGGGTGGTTTGGAAACAACACCACACCTTTTCTTTGTTTGTCCTTTTGTGTGCAGGATCTGGACGAAGATAAGGGACTGGATTGGAATTACAAAACAGATGACCACCTTGGAGAAAGCAATCAAGTGGATTAGGAGATATCACCTTGCAACACCCTCTGATGGCTTGTTTTGCCTTGGTTGTTTTTGGACCGACCCGTTATTGGGTGTGTGTCTTGCTTGATTAAATGGTGACCAACCTTGTTGGTAGGTTGCCTTTTAGTTTTGGACGCATATAAGGCTTCACAATGTGGATTCATCAAATCAGGAAGTAGTTAGTCAGAGAATAATTTTAACCACTCACGTAAATTAGGGAGAAAGCTGCAATTAGCTTTGGACCTGCAACATCTTAAATCTTGTGACACTAGCTAATCTTAAATTTCTCTCCAGTAGATGTCATTAATTATCCTTTCTTGCTATCATTTTAATTAGCTTCTCCTTATTTGTAACTCCACACTTAGATACCTTAGATGCATCAAAGCTAACCAAACATATACTTTTTAAATTAACATTAATTATAATAAATCAAACACAACGATCGGACATAAAAATGGCTACCCTAGTCAAATAATGGGTAGCATGATTCACAGATCGCTTGAAATAATAAAAACTAATACTAGAAATTGTTTCTCTGATGTCTTCAATGATAAAGATTACTCATGGGTATATGCGTGTAATACCGTGACTTCAATGGGAATTCGTGTATCAATGCGATGCTGATAATAGAGGTCAATGCAGTCAGTGCCAAGCCGTTTCAAGCTCCCCTCACATGCAGCTCGCACATAGGATGGATCTCCACATATCTCACCCTTCCCATCAACAAATTTGACTCCAAACTTTGTTGCCAACTCTACCTTGTCCCTCATCCCCCCTCCTAAAGCCTATCAAAATCATAAAACAACCAGATTTCATAATGTTTTTCCAATTTATAATTTCTGAAAAAAGTTAATATATTGGATGTAAGAGTGGCCTTAACATAAGTTGTACCGGATGGGATTTCCATCAGAACTTTAGAAGCACTCTGTTTTTTGGCCGAAAAGTCTTTCTAAGGTCCATTTCCCCCGGGCTTATTAGCATCAAGTATTATTGTTAATCGTGAGATAGATAAAAATTCACCTTTATTGAAGATAACATCATTTTTAACAATGAACGAATCTTAACGATTGGACAAATTTCAAAGGCGAAAAAGTAAATCTACATTGGTAATCTTCGCCCAAATTGAAGATCCAAATGGTTAAAATTAATAGTTAGTACTCCCTCCGTCCCAAAATGAACTTCACAGTCACTATTCGGTCAACTTAAATTACTCTTAATCTTATGTTTTATATATCAAATTTTTATCAAATTTATATTTTTTTATCATCCTTTGTAGCGGTTTTAATGTAGTTTCTCAATATGTAAATTTTATTTACTAAAAGTAATCTGAGTATGAACATGGATCGAGTTGTTTTATTGTCAGTCAAGCATCGTAATCCGAAATGGAAAGTTAATTTTGGGACGGAGGTAGTACTAATTATTGAAAAAATCAGGGCAACTGAATTGTTAATCACCAAAAAACGAAGCGAAACTGATTATAATCCCTTCCACGGCACCTAACATGAACTCCACTCTGTGATGAAACATAGACAAACCAATTCTCTATCTTCCCCTTGTTGGTAATTTTTAAGATATCAAGCCATAATATTAAATTAAATGGAAGCATGTTAAGCATCAACAAGCAATTCGATAAGCTATGTTAGACCATTTATTCAAATACAAAATATAAACTATCATATAAATCTTGTAGTACCTCCGTAACTTAAAAATCTTCTCACTTTCTAAAGCTTCACGTCATACCCTCAATAATTTTAAAATTAATACACTATACCTACTTTTTTTATTTATCCTTCATTCCGGCACACTATTTTATTATCTTCCCATCATAACATCAATAATTTGTATCCCCTTCCACTATTCATAATCTCACCCACTTTACCCAGGTAGAATCGGATCATAATATCACTATTCATGGTTGACCAACAAAAACAGAAGTCATTCAAGCCCCAATCGATCGTATCAGATCAAAGCCAATAGAAGTATAGAACTAAATTCGTGTAAAAAAAACTAATTGTCACCAAATCACTGCACAGGCTTGCACGGAATTTAGGTATTGGGCTGCTAATAATATAATGAAGAGCAAAATTGAAAATAGAGAAAGTAAAAGGGGGACCTTGCCGAGGAGAATTTCATTGGTGTGTGGACCGTAGACGTCGGAGGTGTCCAGAAAGGTGACGCCGGAGTTGATTGCATGGTGGATGAGGTTAATCAAGTCGGGTTCGGGCTTGGGATGACCGTAGAAGGCAGACATGCCCATACAGCCCAGACCCTGGGCCGACACTTGGAGGCCCTGCGAACCTAGCTTCATCCTCGGAACAATTGTCGCCATTGACGCCCGTATTTCTCCTTCAGTCCCTGCTGTTCAAAATAGCCTGCTGGTGGTGGTCGTTTTTATAGCTGGACTTGCATGTCAGCAATGACTTCAGTGCTCGGACTTCTGAGATCAGCGCTTACGGAGTGTGTTGGCCTGTTGGGTGAGTTGAAAATCACCTAGTTTACAGGTGGCGTAGCTGAACTGGCAGCTAAGAGTACCCTTAGATCCCGGTTCAAATGCCGTCAACTGCGATAAAGGATTACTATGCTAAAATATGAGGATTTTTACACAAACAGACCAAAAACAAATATAATATCATTTTTTTCTCTTTTCAATTTTATTTTCAAAAACATACTGGCTAAACTTTCCTTTTCAAAAATAGAACATATGTACCGTATATAACACGTTCAAATCTCTGGTCCGTAGCTAGAATAGCCATTGTTCCGTTAGCATACTCAAAGTAATGCTTCTTTGATAAATTTAGTAGAAAGTGGGCGCACTCGCTACTCAATTTTTTGTTTTCAAACAAAAATTGTAAAACAAAAATTTAAAAAGAATATTAAGAATTAAACATGGTGAAAATAATTAGAAAAATATGCTAACAGGCGGACAAATTAAAACTCAAACTCAAATTAAAAAATTAAAAAATCTCAAAATTGAAAAAATGTTACGTAGTACGGAGTACTACGTATTAAATTTAACAACAAAGACAAAATTCTAAATTTTAAAACTAAATCAGGAAAAAGTAAAAACAAATAGAAATACAAAACAATAAAAAATACAAAAGAATAAAACAATACATACGGAGTATAAAACAATACATATATAAAAAAAATCTTGTACAAAGTTCAACAGTACATATAAAACAATAAAAAATATAAATAATTGAAATTTTTATAAAGCATAAAAAACAAATATGAAAAATATTAAGTAAAATTTAAAAAAAAAAATCAGAAAATTAATGCAGCTTAATAGAGTTTAAAGTCAAAATAAACTCAGAGAATAAAAACATGAAAGAATAAAATAATGAGCTTTGAAAAAATATTGAAAATTTTAAAATTTAAAATTTTTGTAATTATTATTATTTTGTTACTACTACTAGTTTTTGTTGCCATTTGTTTATATGTGTTTCTTTTTGTTGATAATTATGATTTTTTTTTGTTTTTTATTATTTCTTTATGTTTCTAATTTTTGTTTGTATTCATAAATCTAAAATTATCATTTTAGGCGACTATATATGTGTGTGTGTATGTTAGCTTTTAATCAAAAAAAAAGAAAAGATAAATATAAAATCTAAATACACAACAAAAACCAACAACAAACACCAATAAGTACTAAACACAACAAAAAGCAACAAAATGAAACAAAATGCATCAAAATGCAACAAAATGAAATAAAATGAAACAAAATGCAACATAATATAACAAAACAAAAGAATACAATTACAACATAGATAAGGGTTCAATGAGTTCATAGTTCAACTTTTTTATTTACATTCATGACGGGAAATAACAAGAAAGTAGTGGTGGGGATGTAATTCTAGGAGCTATGACATAAGAAGAATTGGAGATGTGGTAGTCTTAATACAACTCCTTTTTGCAGTGAGTTTCAAATGTAGTACAAAGTATCAATTAATTACAGGTTCTCAAATACGGTCAACTCAGAGCCGTGTTGCCCAGCTAAGTCCAGAAATAGCAGAAAACAGCCTTCGTCTTAGAACTAAAACGCTAACAACGACGGAAATAGCACAAAGAACAGAGGCGGTATGAACAGTAACAACAGCTATTCAACCTTTCGTTCTTGAGTTTTTGGCCGGCATACATCATACGAAACCCAAATCCAAGCTCGGAAATGGTATTAGGAGAAAAATTCGATCAAAGTACAACAAAGCAACACAAATTATAAACCACGAAACAAAGAAATCATAAAATCAGTTTCAGCGTGACAACAACGATTCAACCTCTGGTTTTTGAGTTTTTGGCCGTCATACCTCATTCTAAAGCCAAATCACAGCTCGGAGATGTTATTAGGAGAGGATTCGTAGATAACTCATGCCTCTTTAATTTGGTAGAAAGGACACGGAAGTAAGCGCATAGGTCGGCAAAACTTATCTTAAAAGTGAAATAAAAATCCAATAATGAAAAGAGGAAAGTTTAAAATGAAAAGAAAGATCAACTTGGCCATAAATGATATTCTGCACCTAAAAGTAGACTATGCGGGTAATTTGCACTAAAATATGCATAGGGTCTCTCTCTGCAAGTATCGAGACATAGCCCGCTCTCTATCTGTCAGATTGAGATTATAGTCCAATTTACATCCTCCCAACGTACCGTCCGGTCGGGGTTGGGGGCCCTCAGGGATGGGGTGTCATCCTTTTTTTGAAAATTACGTAGTAGAAAATTCAATTTTGTCTCCTCAGGCTTATTGACCACATGGTGTTTACTCAAAAATCATTCTCGGACACTTCCTTCCTCCACCACAAAAATCAACGCATCTCTCTACTTCTCAAATCATCAAGACTACCAAGTCAGCTTCGAATCAAATGGACAGCTACGCTCACAAGTCAATTATCATTTTTCGTTGTGCCACCGACAAGGTCTCCTCAAACGCATTCACTTCAAATAGTCAAAAAGACTACATTGTGGAGGAGACAAAGGTCAGATACTCGTGTACTGAAGATGAATCCCGTGCGCGCCTGAAAAATATTAGAATATTCATACTAAAGGCGCTTTCGGACTTCATTCAAACTGATCAAGAGCTACTTCTGGAAGGCAAGGATTACAAGCAAAAGATTCCTCAACTCCCGGCATCAAAGATCAAATTGAAAAGTTGACATCAACGAGGAGATTGCAAGGATCTCTTCATAAAGCATTCTCAAGAAGTCAAGTTCAAAGACAAAGGAAGCTGAATAAAAACAAAGACAAAGATATATGCGCTGCAATGCTGATTGAACACGATTGAACACCAAGGGAGAGATTGTTGGGAATATGTTATGGTGTCCAATCTAATTAATATCTTTGTATTTGTGTAGTTATTAATTAAATGTGTAATTTGAGCCTCAAATGTATTTCAGCCCATTAGCCCACTTGTAAGCCTTAAGTTAGACATCCTTATGTATAAAAGGATGCTAACTTAAGCAAACTCTAAGTCTTAGAAGCTATTCACGCTCATATCTTTCTCGGAGCTTATACGGTATATAGAAGAGGGTTTCAACGATCAACCCAACTCTATCATTCTGTGATTCTCTACGTCTAATATATTGTATGATTGTTGATTGATTTTGGGACTATCACCGGTTTACCCCTTGGCCGGCGCCGGGTAAGCTACTGCCAACCCCATTTTTGTACCTTTTTAAATTTCGTTTTTCGCTCGAAAACGAGTCAAAAATGCCGTCTGTTGTGAAAGCCGTTCGTCCCCAATACACAAAGGCCGGGCTTTGCAAAGGCCGTTCGTCCGCTTTATACAAACGTCGGGCTTTGCAACAGCCGTTTGTCCCCAATAAACAAACGCCGGGCTTTGTAACAATCGTTCGTCCCCAATAAACAAACGACGGGCTTTGCAAAAGCCGTTCGTCCCGAACTAATTGGAAATCTAAATTTCCAAAAGTCGGCCGGTCTTCAGCGAAGTTGGCCGACGTTAGTTGCTGTAGTTTTATTCCGAAATTCAATTACAACAGTCGGGCGACTTTCGCCAAGCCCGAGCGCCTTTCATGAGCCCCCTCCACTTCGTGAGAAGTCCTCTCCGCAGGACGGACGGGTTTCACAACCACCGGCCGCTGTTCAGCGCCATAGTATTTATTAATTAATTCGATATGAAAGCCGGGCGGCTTTCGCCCAGGCGAGTGTTCTCCTTAACAGGCCAGCAAGGCCCAATTGCAAGACATATTGATAAGTCGTCAAACGGTTTGGCGACTTTCCCCGACCAGAGTTAAGCTCAGCAGTATATTGGTAAATAGTTTTAACCTAACATTAATTCCGTAATTATTTAATTAATTAACATTATTCCGGAAAAAATCTCCCAAAAACATGACCAGTTTAGGATTTTCCAAAAAAATGATCGCTCCCCTAATCCACCCTACGAACGTCCCCAGAGACATGGGTACGTACGTCTCCAAAGCCCATTCAATTTGGGGCGGCTATGTGCGAGACAGCCCAAGGTGGGGGCGAGGTTCGTCCCCAAGGGGGACGCTCGGCTTCATAACACCAGCCCACTTGAGGCCAGGCGGAACGTAGAAGGCAATCTTAGTGGGACGCTCGTCCCCATGGTATGGTGGCGGGTCATATTAAAATACCATGGTATGGCGGCGGGTCATATTAAAATCATTAAAATACCCCAAACTTTGATGGGGTAACTCCAACCTTCAGCCAATACAACCAAAAAGTAACTCCAACCTTACTTTTTCTTATTATTACACAATCTAGCGCGCAAAAACAAAAATTACGTGTTTGGTGAAAATGTTAGCAGATAAGTCAAAAAACTGTGTTACCAAACGGTCTCTACGATTAGGTTAATGAAAAAATAAAGTTTACAAAAATAAGGTTTGTGTAACAAATATAACTCACACGAGTTATTTGTACAATCAATAAAGTAATTATCAATAAAGTGAGTTACTACTTTCGCTCCATTTGATGTGTCTTCTTTTGGTTTGACACAAATTAAAAAAGTGGTTGAAAAATAAAAGTTGTGGTTGATATTAGGGACATGAAAGATGAGATCTATCGCTATAGGACCTGAATGATGAAAAACTATCAATCTAGGACCTAAAATTCATAGGTTTTGATTTATTTAATTTTTTATTAATTCCATTGCTAATTTTTGATAAACTTTTCTTCAAAAAGTTTATTAGTTTCAAAAAACTAAATAATATTGAAAAATTTTAAGATAAAAAAATTAATAAAATTTCGGACAACTTAGGTCCTAAATTGATAATTTTCAATCATTTAAGTCCTAAATTGATAGGTTTCCATCATTCGGGTCTTATATCGATACATAATACATTTCATCTTTCAGGTCTCGGATTGATAATTCATCTATCTTTCAGGTCCCGAATTAATATAATTCCTTGATAAAATGGAACAAAGAGAGTAATGTAATACGGAATATATACGTAATATATGTGTGAGTCTAGCCGCATGCACACACACACATATGTG